GGGGGGGGGAGGGAGCCGGCAATGCTCACACGGAAGCCGATGTCTATAAATGGATGACGAGGCAGGGAAAGTTCTTTTTGACTTGGACTCTCCCAAGCCCTTAGCGAACAAGGGGGGCAGATTCCTTGTCACCATTCGCTCCATTCAAGTTGAATGGGTGCATACAGGGGTGTGCTCGGGGCAGAGGATAGACAGCTCAGGATCGCTGGTTCACATGTCGATCGGATTTAGAGAAGCACTCGAGTGTGTGACATCAATCACATGTGATACACTGGAGCTGAGAACATGAAGTCATAACTTACGCATCATGCATGGTTGGATACCCCAGCGGGAGTCCAGGTTTTCCGATCCCTGAGCGCCTGTTCCACTTTTTTGTTTCCTCCCCTCTGTCTCTTTTTGCTTTTCTTCTTACTCCCCTCATCTCTGACGGTGGGGATGCCAGAGGGGCTCTCCTCTTTTTGTCTGCCTGTTCGGTCTCCTGGAAAATTTGTTTGAAGAGGGAACCTTGGGGGGTTGATGCCTGATCCCGCAATACCCCCTCAAGTGCGAGGAAGCCAGTCTATACGCCCTGCCTGGGGTTATTATTGCACCGTCATCTCGGAACTCGGCGCCCAAATAGCGAGAGGGAAAAGGGCGATTCTTTTCAAAAGCTCCCATTGAGGCATCGGAGCCAGCCTATTATCGGCGTTACTTCAGGGGAGAGCCCATTGTGTCCGTGAAGTGCTGTATGAGTTAATCGGTATGGTTTTCCGGCTTCAATCCCTCTCACCAGGGTTGAGGGCACTCCTTCGCACAACAGGGTTTGCTTGCTTACAATGGAGTAACATTGTATTACTTTCCTCTTGAGTTCATCGGCATTTTAGGAATTTCCATGGACGGTTCCTTCATGCTCCACCTGATCGGAATCCCGATTTAGCGTTCCTCTGCGGTACAGAACAGAACAGAAAGAAAAAAAATTCCAAGAAGCATTTCGAGGTGCAGGTCGAGCTTAGAAAGTGACAATCGATGTAGCGATCACGTCGTTCTGACCAAGGCCTGAAGTAACGAACTCCATACACCAAGGACCTTGCTCAGTGGGCTGGTTTCCTGAGAGAATTCATGGTGAGTGAGTCGGCCTTTTTTTTCTCACCGAGCCCCGAGAAAAAGACACGCCAGAGGAATATGGAAAGAAAGACCCGTGATATATGAGGATGATGACGGGGGTTTCGAATCTCAAGTGAAATCAAGAGCAATAAAAGCTAGGGAGCGGAACGACAGCACGTTCAAGGAGGGGACCAGTGGCCATTTCAGAGGTTCCTTGCCTTTCAATTGCCCGTTGTATTCCTTTGACCAATCCCCCCCCCCCCCATCACACCCTCTCCTCCCGAGGACATTCATCAAGATGCCCCCTCGGCCGCGATAGGGCGTTCTGCCCCTCCCGATCGACGGATCCGAAATCGAAAGGGTTTTGTTGCGGAGTATTTTCGTGTCCCCACCGTTTACGGCGGAGCTTATCCGATGGAGGATTGTCGCGATGGAGACTTCCTCCATCGCCAGAGATCGAGATGGCTCGCACAGTTATCCGCGCAGTCTGTGGCGTGGATGCGAGCGAGAAGCCCCGTCTCATGTACACGGAGGCCGGTTTTTCCAGTTCCACGATAGGAATCGTCTGTCCGTGTCCACCGGTTTCCTCGATCGAATGGAAAGGAAAAACAATAACACCCATGCATCTCTCGGTAATGAGACCTGATCATCCTTTCCCAGGGAATGCTTTTTCAATGGAGCATGGACCTCTCGATGCTGATACGACAGACCGTGTTTGTGCGTGCGTCCGACTCTCGATGGCCTTGCCTTTGCCTGGAGGCTTCCTCGTCTCACCTCCTGGCCGTCCAGCGGGTAGCACACGGGACAGGAGGGCTCCTCGATCTTCGCAATGTGTTGCAGCGCTTGTGTTCGGATTGAGATTTAAGGTTTTTTAAGTCGCCCGATTGAGAGAAGGGCGAGAGGGGAAGCGACAGCGGACGTGAATCGGGCCGAAAGAGGCGTGTTCACGGCCCGATCCCATATTTCACCGATGGGAAGGAGTGAATGCGAGAAGAAAGGGGCCAGGTATTTCATCTTAGTCAATGACCTATTGATAGACTGGAGTCGGACAGGTAAATGAAAGCGCAGGTGCCTTCATGGGGGAGCAGCTGGGCTTTGGAGTCGGTAGTCAGCGAAGCAAAGCGTACGTCATGCATGCCGCCTTTTCACAATGAGTGACGCGTGCGCCCATGGATGGGATTCGAACTCGGGGCCCCCTCACGCTTCAATGAACCCCAGCATGTCCTGCTATTTATGATCACAGGACGTGAGAACTTGAAGCCGTTCGCGATGACCCAGCGGATTTCGGCTGACGACTTCGCTGAACACTTCCTCCCGTCCCCTCGCCCCATAACAGCCAGCCGTGCATGCCCAGAGGCCTCAGGGTCTCAACCTTTGAGGAACATCCCGACTCTCCAGGCAAAAAAAAGAAGTTCTACGTGAAGGTCCAGATAATCTTTTCTTTTTTAAGAGAGAAAGAGAGAGACCCAGTGTAGGCAGAGAAGGTGGTATTGCAGAGGTGGGAAAGGGCAAATGTAGGTCAGAATTTCTAGTATCGGAACGCCCACTACTGAGGGTACTTGTATGCGGGAAAGCAGACAAGTACCTTCGGGTATTCTGCAATCGTCATATTGATCGGTCACATATATATATATATATATATATTTGTATTGGGAACTGGAAAACTTCTGCTACGTCTTCATTGTATTGTGTAACAATTTCTAAAACTTGCGTCGCATCTTCTTCCGAGCTAACTGGTCAAATCCTCTTCGCCCTCTGTCAACAATGGTCAAAAAGTGTGAATACAAAAATAAAGTAGATTTCGTGTTCCGCCCCTTAATGGCGGCAACTCATCGGGAATAACTTGAAAACTTCCTAAATTCACGCTCGTGCGCATTAGGAACGGCATCATGCTTTTTTTTTTCTTGGTTAAGACCAGTGGCTGCGCAGTTAACAAGTGCACGTCACATCGTGAAACTCGCCTTTCTGTCCCATAAAGTCACTTTCGCTAGCCCATCGAGTTCACGTTTTCCTCCTTGAAGGCTTCCCATAAAGCGGGAAATAGCAGCTCGCTAATCACCCATCGTCGATGCAAAAGCGGCTTTATGCGGAAGAAACGTGACACGATCCCGAGGGAAATGGGCCGGTCGAGCCGCCGATGCCGTTTATGGCCAGGAACTCGGAGGGTCCTGCGATGTGCGTTCGTTTCGGTGTATCGACGTAATTGCCTCTTTGCGGGAGAATATCAAGGAGTAATTTCTAATAAAGTGATGGGTTTCTCACGAAACAGTTATATAAATATATATATTTTTTCGTGGCCTCTTTCTTCCTCCGGAAACGAAGTGGATTTTCACATCAACTCGAAAGAGGATGCGCTGCGAGTTGTGCATCAACAATCCACCGACCTACGCACTCCGTTTCTCAGAGGGAGTTCGTGCCGCCTGCCATATCTGATGAGCTCGTTTCGAGTCCGTTATCTTCAACGGGGCAAGTCACCAACGATGTCAATATCGACTAATATGATGTAACGAAACGAACAGAACAGAACGAACCGAAAGCTTCATTGTTACTTCCCTCGTTTGAGGGGATTGCATTTTCGCCGACAGTTTGCGGCTTGATCGTGTGTTCACATGATACCCTAAAACAAAAGGGGTAAGTCTATTGTACCTTCACGCTCCACGCCGATCTCATCTCTCACCTTGGACCGAGCTTTTGTGACGGGGTTGTGATTCTGGGAGTCAAGGATACGAGCTAGACAGGAACTTTCATGCTTCTGTGGCAGAGTCCATGTATGACAGAGTCTGAAAGATACCATCGACATCACTATACCGTGCAACCGATACGCCATGATGACCAGATAAGGACCCAGTCATGCCATTGGAAGGTGACTGTGGTCCAAGGGTAACATTGAACTTGATCTTGTCTCGTTGTTCTTTGTCCCTCTCGTCGAACGGATGAGGCTTCCCACCCCTCTGCTTCCGGCATCGCGTACGATACACGCCACCACGCTCGATTCGACAGCTGAATGAGCTGTGCGACCGCTCGTGAGATCGATATTCGCAGCCACGTGCGAAATGACGAGGTTTCGGTTCTTGTTTCTTTGCAGGGGACTCCATGCCAGAAACGTACCGGATCGACGGCGCGTTCGGGCCGGGGAGTCAGGGGTCGCAGCCGCGGCCGAAACGGGTGCGGACCTCCTTCAAGCATCATCAGCTGAGGACGATGAAGTCCTATTTCGCCATCAACCACAACCCGGATGCCAAGGACCTGAAGCAATTGTCGCAGAAGACGGGTCTCTCCAAGCGCGTCCTTCAGGTGAGAGTTCGGTGCTTCCTCTGCTTTCTTTCCCCGGGGGGATAAGGGCAACGAGGGCGGAAACGCGTCATAATGTGGCATTTTGGGAAAACTATTTATATATATGACAGGAGAGAAAAAGTCAGCACCACCCCCCCACTCATCGGCTCGGAATACCGTGGGGATGCGCATGAATGCTACGTTTCCTCGGTCTGACACAATCTGGCAAAGATGCATCGGTTCCGTCCTTACTCATACACATGCACTCACTCCTCTCCGCCTTCCTCTCATTTTGCACTGATTTGCGAGGAATGCGCGATGTGTTGGGGTGTGTCAGGGATGGCGTCATTGTGGAGAACATTTTGATGGATAAGGGGGCGTATCTTGGGGGGCACCCTCGCCTTCTTCCCCCTCTCCTTTCTCCCTTCCGTCCGAGGGTGCTCTGCTACAATGGCGAATCGGGAGGCGTGATGTGTGGTGGATGACTGGTAAAGTCCGTCCATCTCCGCACTCGAGCGAAGACCTGCACAGGAATCGGCACGGAAGATTGTTACGGCGGGTGGGCTGAAAAGGGAACGTCATGCTGCTCCGTGACCGTGAAACTCGAGGGTACTCCCGTTTAATAGATGATGTTATTTAAGATTAGGCCAAAGTCAACTATCCGGCGGCATCATCTAATTAGGGCTCGAAGATATCGCGAACCACAGGAGAGGGAACAGTATCAGAAGAGAGTGGGGTCTACAGCCTCAGCCGGCTGCACACTCCCTCACTCTCAGCTGGCTCGCCTTCTTAATGAACTAAACAAATCCCCACGACCTCAATTTGCATTGCTGACAGTCTGTTTGATGGGCCGCCAATCTTTTCCCGTGATAAGGTCTTGAACTCCGGGGAAGGGTCTATCTATCTATCTTGTTCACTGCCTCTTTCTCTTCCTTTTCCCCCTCTGTTCCCCTCCCTCACAATCCCTGACTATTCTCTCTCAACTTGTCTCATTTTCTCCTTATCTCCTGTCACATTGAGATGACACGGGGGTGTCTTTTTCTTTGGCTTTAATGCAGGTGTGGTTCCAGAATGCCCGTGCCAAGTGGAGGCGGACGGTGCTCCGACAACAAGGTGGAGCCGGGCCGGAAAGGGCCGAGGAATCCGGAGCTCTCGCCGACCTGGGCCTGGGCCCGGTCGGACTCGACAGCGGGGCCAGCATGGACGGTGGACTCATTTCCAGTGGCGATGACGGAACACCTCAACCCACGCCCATTACGGCTCACGAACAAAGTCCCACGCTCTATGCTGACCTTCCTTGAAGGACTCGCCTTGGATCAAAGAAAAAAAAAAGAAAAAAAAAGAAAGAGAAATCACAAGAGGAGGAATAGAAAGGAAGGAAAAAAGACCAGTGCAGAGACTGAATGGGGACACGGACTGGTCCGCAGCCAATGTTCCCGCAAGCACCGACCTCGCCTCCAGCCAACCGGTTATCATAAATCATAATTATGAATTTCCAGAGTTGATGATACGCTCGAATAGAAATACGCTGAAGTTGTGATACCAGAAAGATTATGTATGCTCTCTCTTCTGTTTTCCTGACCTCGTCTTCGTCGTGAAATGTGCAAGCATGTGAAGATATTCCGGCTCTCGGCAGTGATTTTCGTTTCCCCCGATTCATTGATTCCATCGACACACTTATTCGTGTTTGTTCTATTCAGACTTCAATGTCCGTTTCAGAGTAATTTTATGAAACTGTACACTTCATGAGGTCCTGACTGATTTCTTGCTTGTACATAAGTGGAGAATCAAAGGCCTGATCAGTGTTTCGATGAGAAATCGGTGACATATCCGCTCGTACTTCAAAAGGATGGACTTTATTGCCCCCTCATTGCCCCCCCCCCCTCATTTTTTCTTTCTTCATCTGAAATTTTTCCTCGCGAGAGAGAAGCAAACGACGCTGAGTCTTCGCCTCCGAATCTGGATCCCGCTGTCCCCGCTCTAGAAATATACTGGCTTGGCCGTATTTATGTATTTCTATTTTCCTATATAAGATTCAGTCTCTTTTTGCATAAATAAAGGAAAGCCTTTCTCGGAAGGAAGAGTGGTCATCATTGAGTTGCAAGGAGGAAGAGATTTTCCCCCGTCTTTCCGCGGGATTCACTCAGCACATTTGCCGCACGGAAAAGATCCGTGCCAAGTCGACGAGGAATGGGTCTTGGTGAAACCGTGCCGGGGAGCATAACTCATATCTGTATGCTAAGCGCATTACGAGACGGCGAGGGCAATTTGTCACCATGGAAAAAGAGAGCAGGATGTAAGGGGGGGGGGAGGCAGAAATAATGGCAAGTCAAGGGAGATCTCCTCGTAATGTTCCTTAATGGATTTTCGAATGGAGCTCCGAGGAGCCACCCACATGGCTTGCAAGGAACGGAAGCACTCAAAATAACACCACAAATCCCGATTCCGAAGGACGAAGATGCGAGACGTTCCGTCTTGGAGCTGGGCTCTAAGACTTTCGGATTCGGCGCGGGAGCACCGGATTCCTGTCAGACCGACAGCGATGTCGTTTGGTGTCGATCTATCAAGTCTTCGGCTGGAACCCAGATGCATAGGAACCATAAATCACTCAAAAAAAAAGGGGCAAAACAGAAATAAGGACCGTCCACAAGTCGCTTTTCTCGGTTGCATGGGAACGCCTCCGAAACCCCTAGAAATCTGGAAAGTTGAGGCAAAATCCGCACAAATCGAATAAAAATCGGGAGTATTTGGCTTAAATATAAGAATGCCATTATGGTACAAAGATAAAAGCAAATAAGAACATGATGTAGGATAATCAAAAATAGTATTCTCGGAGGAGCATGTTTACAAGGAGAGGGAAAACGGTGTCGACCGCACGCATGGCGGCCACCCTGCAGCCTCAACGCATTCCGAGGCAACGAGAAATGCGAGAAGCCGTCGTTGCTCAACAACCCTTTCTTTGTTACACAACGGAGGCCCCCACCGAAAATGAGGATTCGTCTCCCTTTCCTCCTCCTCGGAACGCTTTTGTCTCTCGAGTCTCAGCTGTCTCTCACGTCACTCGACGTCGGATTCCCTTCCTCTTCCTTGGGCGTCTTCGACTCTTCGGCATATTCGATTCTTTGGCAAATTCGACTCTTTTGCATCTTCCAGCAGAGATACGTGCCAGGTTGAAGCAACACTCGCGTCCCGTGAAGAATCATCGATAATCACGCTGTATTTGCAGTCGATCGGGTGAATTAGCGTACATTTTCGGACTGGCTTTCTGCCTTCCTACGAACTAAGTCAATCTGAAGATGGAAGATCTAGCGACTTCGTGTCGCCACAAAGTCGTTGGATACTTAGCGCTAAACGACTTGCACAGTCGGAAGCTCTTCGTTCACCTCATAACAAACATTCGAAGTTTTATCAACTCTGCAGAAAACAGAGGGATCAAGTCAACCTTGCGTACATTATAGTTCATGGGCATGTTAAATGCATTTTTCCATGCTTATTATTATTTCTTAAGAAAGAAATTCACGTGCTTACTCCTCGAAACAGACAGAGTCACGACGTCGCAATCGCAGCCCCCCAGCGAAGAAGTACGCAGGGCTAGATTTTCGTGCCGAAGGATTATTGTCGGATTGGCGTCAATGGTTACATTAATTGCTCTAATTGATACCATGCAACATCGGATCGCATGCATTCCGATGCATAATTCACTTTTTCTCTGTGACATGTACTGAGCCAATTGTTTCTGCCCACGGCAGGCCTCATTGTCCATAATTGACTCAGCTCCCATGAATATATATTTGTTTTGTATTGCATTGTCTTTTTTCTTCTGAGCAACTAACGACTAATCCTGAAGTTGTTATCTAATCGCTGCTGGAAAGACGTTCTTTTCTTAGATTGTTGCAACACCCACGATGAAGAAAGAGACCGTTGGTCCGTGAAAGAGGGTCACTGTTGCCTCAAATCATTTGTCACACATCTCGCGTCACAGTCTGTCACACGGTTCGCGTCAGATGCCCCCGAATCGAGCCCGCGAGCGCCCTCTCTTCGAATCTCTCGAAATGGCAGTGGAATCCTTCTCCATCGATCTCCTTGGGCTGATGTCAGCTAACTTTGTTTTCCTGTTTCCTTTCCGATTAATGGGTCGGGTCCATGGAATCTGACCTCAAGTTCATGTCGCTCTGGGCGAGAACGAGTCTTTCGCCACGATGTAAATGGTCAGCGAGGAGATAAACGTGACTTGGTCACAAGAATGCAGTTTCAGAGAATTGCAAAAATCTCAATCGCGTCGCCTTTCCATGTTTTTAGTCCGGTGGAGACATGAGGCGTCCAACAGGCGATATTCAAGAACCCATCTCTGGCAGATTTCACCTTGGAGACTCCACGAGGCACACAGGACGATACCCCAAGAGATTTGCAGGCAGAGTGACGTCAGACCTCCAGGAGGCCAGTCATCTTCGATGAGCGTCCCACTGGTCTCCGGCTGTTGGGGGCCAGGCGATACGGGGGCGGATGTGGCTGGACGAGGAGAGGTTGGGTCCCTTCCACCATCACCGTAGGAGCGTTGGGATCAGATTGGGAGGAGGAGCTGCTTCTTCTCTGCCACATCAGAAGAGGAAGGATGAGGTAAACTAAGTCGTGTTGGGTGCATGACCCGATTTTCGAGGAAACGGAGCAGTACGGGAACTTTTACCCCTTTATTGCGGGCTGCGAAATGATTCTGATGACTAGTTCTTCGCAGACTTCCGCGTGTCTCTGCATGAATCGAAACAGACTTGCCTCCTGGCTCAAGCAAGAAACGCAAAAGCAAGAAACGTACGGCAGAGTTCCCAGATAGGGAGTGAACTTCCAATCGGCAATATAGGGCCATGACATCTGGGAACAGGAGTAAGAAGATAGCCCTGTGCACCCCAGAAAGACAAAGAGTGACGTCTCGTCCCGCCCCGTCACTCCTGGACTCTCGCAACGAGCGATCCCCGAGAGTAAAGCATGCACTCTCCCTCGTTGAGGATTTTTTGACGCGTCGCTCACCTGTCTCGTCGCTTCCGACCGGCTATGGCGCAAAGGACATCCCGCCCCACAATAAGGAGCGGACGAGGAGACGACATCCTCGTTCGGCGACGTCATCCTCTTTTGGCGACGTTATCCTTGTTCGGCGACTCCATTGTGTCGTTCGACGTCGGCAGGTCGATTCCTCGCCGAGAACCGGTAGATGTGTCATATGTGCATGTCACCCACAGTTGTGGAAGTGATCCACTTTCGTCGAGCCTTGTTGCAATGCCCTATGTGCCATTGCGGCCAGCGGTGGGAACGGTCAGAGTTTCGCCACTCCCGATTGGACGGACTGGGTGTCAAAACTCAGATATTCGTCAATCCATCCTGAAATGCGAGAAGCATTTCAAGCGTGAGATCTCTCTATCCCTTTTGTTTGTCTTTTTCGCCATGACGAAATATGATTTTTTTTCCCTTGATACGGGGTTTTACCTATCGGAGAGCGAGATTCCTCACACATGAGAGAGGACCAGAAAACCAGCATTTTTGGGGACGGATTGGGAAATGGCTCGGAGAAGGAAAAAAAAAAAAACCCAACGCAATGGAAGGAAAGGAAAACTGGTTTTCCGTAACCCCCCTACATATTAGGGGTACCCGCGGATCCACCATTCTGATCCGGTTGGATTCTTTGAATTGGGTTCCCAGACACCTAAATGCCAACATTTCTTTCCCCGAATAAAAATTACTCACGTAAGGTCAGTGAGTCGAAAGATGGGTGGAAAAATCAAATCGCCACTACACCACCTCATGTATTTTTTTTTTTGCGGTCGGTCTCCTAATGAGGTCATACGGCTCAGTCAGAGGCTTATGTGATGCGATTTGATTCTCATTGACTGGATCGCATTGATTTACACGACAAGGACGTCACGAACGCCTGAGACCGAGAGCAATTTCTCGTATGCCAACAGATTTTGATCTTGAAGCCAGAAAGAGGCCAGATAAAATGCAACAGAGTTTCAACTAGCTCAACAACACGATAGGAAAATATACTTCATTATCTCTGGCTTGTAGTTTCCCCCCCCCCCCCCCCCCCCCCC